GCTTTATTGGCGATTCTGTTCAATTTATATGGTTTTGTGGTTTTGTATGAATCTTTAATTTAATCGTGTATCATAATAGACTTTATTGGAAAATGTAATTTTTATTTATGAGGATTTTAAAGACTTTAGTCGGATCAGTTTCTTTTCATATTTTTATTTATCTATATCTGATATTTTATTTCGAAGGAATAATAAACAGTATGGCATGTTTTAAATGTGATTGTAAAAGGAGACATGGCATTAGAGTCTCCTTTAGAGTTAATTAGTAAAGTCAAGTGACCTTTTTGACCTTAGCGTTAATTCCCAGTACTTTAACGAAGGGATAGCAGTAATCTGAGTTTTATTGCCAGATTAAAGACTCCGTTTAGTATTTAAATTAATACAGTAGCGATAAGCTCATGTGCTTTGTATGTTCTCTCATGAACCTTTGTATTGTAATAATAATTATATTATTGTTGGAGATTTCACTTGAAATTTCACTTTATGAAGAATGAATATTAATTTCAGTTCTAGATGGCCTTCTCAAGTGTACTGTGGTTTCTCAGATTTATTATTTTAATTAAATTCAAGTTTTAAGTACACGACCTAAGTACTTAGATTTGAGTGTAGAATTATAAAGTACTTGAAGCAACTTGTGTAATAATAGATGCCTAAGAACAAAGATACTTTTAGTTTCATTTATCACTTGGAGTTGTGTGGAAGATAATGAAAAGTTGTTCTAGTTTATTTGCATAGAGATCGTGTGTTAATTATTAAGATATCATGCATCTGTTAATAAGGCCAACGATAACACAAAAATTTATTTGATCCTAATTAAAATCCGACTAAAAAACAATTATAAATAAATTAATTTGACTGTCTCGTTGGCCTAACGGGTAACCGGGGCTCCGGCTCGACGTGCAGGAGAAGGAACGGGGTGGTTTTTAGTCAGTAAGAGTCTGACACTCCCTCCCGCCTCACCCAGGCGGGAGCAGTCATACGGTGATTTTCCCCCCTTAAAAAAAAAGTGGTCTAAAATGCGACTGCTGGACAAGGGGTCTCGGTTTCGATTCCAGGATCGGGAAAAGGATTACTGTGTTTTAAAACATTCTCAGTAGTAGCGCGTAGTATGGAATTGTGCTCGGTATATGGCAATAGGCTTACCCCTATTACATGAATAGTGAAAAGTGGGTGTAACAGCAGCAGATCTAGCATTCTATTTCTAGATATTCGCACCCGATACCACATAAATTAATACAAGTCCTGCTAAATATTTCAAGGAAAACATACCCAGTGTTGTTAGTCAACAAAAAAACAGTATTATTGACAAGACAAAGAATGACAAAATCGCTGGTGCAATACACCGCAGCAAGTTTGGACGATGGCCAGATTATAGGGAATCAGGTCGACGGCGACACTCTCTATGAAGCGAAAATAGATGACGAAAGTTCAATGCGTGTTTACTATTGAGTTAGTGACGTTATGTAAAAAAATATAGAAGAACTAATAAAGGATCTAAAGCTTCATTAACTTATTACATAACATAACATCAAGCCTTTTATCCCCGAAGGGGTAGGCAGTGGTGCACATTACGGCTCTTAATGCCACTGTACAGTGTAACACCCACTTTTCACTATTTATGTTATAAGTCCCATGTAATAGGGGGTGAGCCTATTGCCATATACCGGGCACATTTCCAGACTTGGTGCTACTGCTGAGATATTTAAAAAAAAACCGGTAATACTTTGCCCGACCCGAGAATCGAACCCGAGACCCCTTGCCCGGTAGTCGCACTTGCGACCACTCGGCCAATGAGGCAGGTAGCAATTAACTTATTATTTTTATTAATAATGTTTGTGTTTGTTTTCTAGTTTCGACATCAGATTATATCTATATAGTGTTCATCAAAATAATTTGATGAACACTAGATGTTAAGAAACTTTAAATAAGAATTCTATCAAGCTATATTTTCAAATAATCCATGCCACGTGCCACATTATAGTTATGGATACGGTGTGTTCGTGTTTAGAGAAAACTGAAAAATTTTGTATTTTAAGCTTGAAAACAACACCTAGACTTCAACTAGGTCTTAAGATTAGTTTTTTAGACCCTAATGCTTATAACACCTGATTTTTTAGAAGTTGACCAGGTCTTAAATTGACTGGAACATACACAGAATACTTGAAAACTAGTTTACTTTCAAAACTATTGAAGGTAGTAACATTTCGATCATTTTATCTATTAGCACTTCTGCTATTACCTGTAATGTAATAGTAGAAGTGCTAATAACTACTCAACTATTTCTAGTTTCAGTTTAGCTCTATTTATGCGTGTGACCTTTAAATGGATGTAAATCATTACTGCACGTCGCGTTGAGTGGCGCTGACGCATAATCACAATGCTTACAGCCATACAAATATCAATCATATTTATCGAACACTAAAGCATTATTTGGCATATGAACAGGGTTTCTTACTTATTCGCACTTTAGGTTTTGGGTATTTATTCATGTAAGCAGTGTGATAGGATTATTTTCTTTGATAGTTTCTTTAAAGTTTTTGTTCTAAAATATTTTTTTATATTAACACTGTTATTGATGAACCCTTATTGGATTTATTTGAATTTAACTTCTCCAATATAATTCTCGAGTTATTCAGTATTGCGAGTATAGTATGGAATGTATTTGTCGTTTGTTTTTGGCCGACAATTGACCACTATCTCGTTGGTCTCTATTGTAGAATTTGACTTACAGAAGTTGCAATAATGGGTAAAACTTAAAATTAGAGATCCTTACTTTAAAAATTTCACGAGACATTTACTCGCTTAGCAATTAAAAATCTCACTTTTATACAGGATGCCACACACGTGGAAAGAAAACTCACAGCGCGAACCTAATCATAGCATCGCAAAAATCTAAAAATTTATTTGACACAAAACATAACATCTGAAATTATGCGTAACGTGACAAATAGCCGAATAAAACTATTTCTCTTGTACTAAAGACGTCACAGAAAGTTTTTTTGACAAAAATCTAGACGTGTTTACGTCTAGAATATTTAGTGGTTTCACTAAAACGCTGTGGAAATGACATTAAGCTTTGATTAGTAACGTCCCACGGTTCCAGTTTTGATGGCGCCCAGAAATAAATACATCGTTGTTTTTAGAGCGCCAAGGAAATGCGTGATTTAGTGTAGTGTAAATAAAAATGTCAGTCAACCGCAAGAAATATGTTATATATAACGTAACATTGCGCATGTATTCATCAGAAATAGGCAGGCGTGGATTTATGGCAGCCATGTTTTGTGCGTTTAGTTTTACGTCCTCAGTAGAACTAGCGAAGCTTATGGCTATTCGATGACTGTACATTTTGTTTCACCTCATTTATTCTCAGAGAATATTTCAGTTTTGCCATGGAAACCTTAAACATAATATTTCATTTCTTATGTAAAGGGATAAGCAGAAGTCGTGTTCTGATTTCTTTATGCTAAGAATGTGATTTCGATTGAACACTGATAAAATATAATTATCCCTATGGGAGATAGCCGTGAGGTTAGTATGTATCCAAAATGTAATTTTGAGTGATGTTTCAATTTCAAGAATCCGAAATATCACACAATTTTGTTGAACTAATAATCAAATCCAACTTCTCTCGGTGGTGATACCATTCCACCATTCCACTAATAAGTAGATCGTGAAAAATTAAAATGTAAACTATCACTTTAGTACCACTGGAGCAACGACACGGTAATAAATAATAGGAGCTCATAAAAGAAAAAAATATCAAACACTAATATTTAATTTTAAAAGATGTACCACTGAAATAAATTGTTGAATCATCGCAATTCTTAAAATATTTTGTTACGCAAAATACTTCTATTTCCGTATTCAAAATAATCCTAACTATTTGCTTCGCGGTATGAACGATGACGAATCCTTCTTCAGTTTCTTTTTCTCACAACTACGACTCATATACATTACTTGTCTTCGTATAATGTAGGCAAATTACAGAAACAATTGTTTAACGCTTGATGACTAAGAACATAGTTGATTCGGCTTTGTTTGTTGCCTTGCGAAGTTTTAAATCCAATTTTTCTAAGGATATGATTTTATAGAAAAGACAGAAGAAAATATAAAATGAATATAGTAAACATAGGGTCTACTAGTGATCGAATACGAAAAGCTAAAAATCAAGGTCAGTTTCGAGCTACTGTGAGATAACAACAGCAAATACTCTAAATAATAAAATACAAAATGCTGATAATAATAAAATGACCTAATTCCACAAGGAAACCGCAAAAGTAATTAAATGTAAATAAAAAACAAACAATTCTGGAAACAAATATAAAAACTATAACACACATGGTTTTTATATCAATCAACTGAACTTTAATCTGTGATGCTATTTGATTTATAACTGGTAAACACGGATACCATATTGCGTGGACGCAATGGCGAGAATCCATCAGCAAGAGTATATCCGCAGGAAATGTAAATATAGAACTGAATATTTTGAGTGATGCGCAGACAATAAGTGAAGGACCGCGAAGTGCAGTGGCTAAATGACTGGACGTGTAGGTATATTCAAGACGTAGCTTACAACTTTGTCACTGTAAATGAATGTAGAAATAACAGAGACCAATTACTATTTTTTTACTTCTTTTACTATATCTACTTATCCATACGTTAGTGTCCTTTTTAAATAACAAACTTTATTATATCAACATCATGAGACGGTCATATCAAGTTTGTGACAAAATTCATGAATCAATTTTAAATATTTTAAAAATAAAATCAATTAGCCGTGTGACAGTAAAAAGGATACGTAGTGACGGATGTGGTTGGTAACTTAGCACCCTAGTAGTTAATGAAATATGAGTAACATACTAAAGTTCATGTAACGAAAACGTCTTAAGTAAACCCTGTAGGGTTTGATGTTGATATTTAATAATAGAGGTATGTAAAAAACATAAAGGTTAAACAATCATCGAATAGACCAAATCACGAATAAAAATGCTACTTACGTAAATCTATGATCTCCAAACTGGAATGAATCAAAGTCTGCAACACAACCACTATCACCAGCACACACAAGTTCATATCCTTTGCCATGATCACCATCAGGCGTCCGAATCACCAACACTGAATCACCAAAAATCACCAGATCGTCCAAAGAACACATTGATGTCACTGTATCAACCCAGTACACTATTTCATCACCAGCGGTACCTTTTCATTTTCCCAATGGATCGTCCTTAGGTCCAAATATTTTTGGAGTCGTTCCAAGTTTTTCTTCAATATTTTTTGTTTATCGTGGCCGAATACTATCTGAAACAAAATAATATTGTTTATTAATTAATTTATTGCGTTGTTGATCTGGTTTTTGTAAATGATGTTGAATGCAAGGTCTTAATTTAGTCCCAGGGTCGAATAAAGTACTGATTATTGAGTTTGTGGACTACAAAGGAGGTTTTAAATCATTTGTAAGGTCTCATCAAAAGCCTATAAGTGGCCACTGCTGACCAAAGGCCTTTTCACACGGAGAATATTTGTGCATTAATCACCACGCTTGCTCAATGCGGGTTGGCGATTTTAAACTTATAATTAGAAATTATAAGCACAAGTTTCCTCACGATGTTTTCCTTCACCTTTTGTCAGCGGTGGATCATAATCTTAGAAAGTACATATAACTCGGAAAAAGTCATATTAGTACTTGCCGTTGGTAGGTTTCGAATCAGCACTCTCATGTATGAGAAGCAAACGTCTTACCTCCAGGCCACCACGACACATTGTAAGGTCTAGTACATTAATATTAGTTTCGTCTCATAAAGTAAGACTACAATCCTAATAAGTGTGTATCTCTACAGGTTCTCTCCTAAATACCACTTTTAATATCAAGCGAGTAAGATTGTGTTTGTCGAATTCTTTCTTCATGTCTCCATCAAAACAGTCCATGGCAATAATAATAATGGGAAGTTTATTAAAAATAGTGACTTGTTCAACATCTGTGTGGGTTCAATGGGAACTGGGTCGGCTTTATTATGTTCCGAATGTTACGTAATTAATGTGGAATCATTTGGAATTTCTGTGAATGAAAGATTTATTACAATGAAGTTTCAAAACAATTTCTGGATACGTAAACATTGGTTAAGAGTTTTTCTGTAATCTTTACATTATTCTTTCCTATAATAATTGCTTTGTTTTGATGGAATTTTGAATTTGACGCCAATCATTTATCTCTCCAAAACATCAATATGTCTTTCATATGTATATGTGCTATATTTCTTTCTGAAATTACAGACTCGTAAATATTTAATTTTATCTTATATAAATAAATGTCAAATATATTGACATATTTACTATCACCTGTTTATACGTAATATAAACAATGTAATACCCCATTTTCACTACTTATGTTATGAGTCTCATGTAAGAAGGGGGTGAGCCTATTGCCATATATCGGGTAAAATTACAGACTCCGTTAAAGGGGGTAAGCCCATATATCGAGCAAAATTCCACGCTCCGTGCTACTACTGACTTTAAAAACCCCGTAGTACTTTGCCTGACCCGGGAATCGAACATTACATTATACAGTGGCATTAAATGCCGTAAAATACACTTATGCCTACCCCTTCGGGGTATAAGGCGTGATAGTATGTTATATTTAACAAAAACTAAAAGATCAACTAATAAACAACCAGTATATCCAGGCATCCGGATAATAATCCTAGTAGCAAATTTTCCAACAAGACTCATCGAACAAAAATGTCGCAAACTCCATGGAGGTGAGAGATCAAGTTATATTTGTCACTCGCGTCATACTTCCGTTGCTTCCTAATAATAATTCCCCTCTTTCCCTCCTAACCCCTCTCACTCCGCGGATACGCTTCCTTTACCTTGAAATTGTTAATTAAGTCATTCAATTAATGCATACAGGATACAATATTGTAGTTGACACGATGTGTAATGGGACTTTTTACGTTACATCATGTTCATTGTCACATGGAATGAAATATTAACAGGGGTGTGCCGTTAACTTTTCTATTTTATCTGGCTCATGGTGGTACATAAGATGTTCTGCATCAGGTTATGGGTGTTTAGTGGTAATAGTATTGTAAGTAGCCGAATCAGATGTTACCATCTTGTCTTTTTTCAAGGTCATGTATCGTCTTTAGCATCTATACGAGGTTATCATATGTTACAACCTTCTCCTCTTTCAAGGTCACGTATCTTCTTTGGCATCTATACGAGGTTTCATATGTTACAATCTTCTCCTCTTTCAAGGTCACGTGTCTTCTTTGGTATCTGGCATCTATGCAAGATTGCAAGGTTAATTATGACCTCATTACAGGTGGTATATTATCTTAAGTTTCTTTTTGTTTCACATAATTATCTCCATAAAACAATCCACACTTCTCTATAACCCTCTTTTCTCCATCCACTCATAAACAAAGCAAAAACAACTCAAACAGACCACGACGAAATAAAAGCACTCTTTTAATTACATTACCGCTTTAGCACTAGAACATCAAACATTCTCTAAATTAAACATTCAAAGTAATTCGCACACCTAATTTGTGAACTGGCAGCAATTGTTTGCACACCGAACGTATGCAGGACAATATAATTACAGCAGCTAACGTCATTGGGCAGGCAGGGCACTGGATTTGCCGGCGAGGTGGTCGCTTATTGACACTGGTTGGTCGCGAACTAATTCTGTGTGTAACGCAACGCGGAAAATAAGCAAATAAAGATGTTTTATTACTTTTTGCTCTGTGTATGAAAAGACTATTTCCGTGGCGTGTAGGATTGCTCGTATTTTTATGAAGTTTCCACACAAACAATAATTTCTTTTGTGTTCGTTACGTTTATAGACGTAGTGAATAATTTTCATGCTTTTGTGTTAGTGGATGTCAAAATGTATGAAGGAAAAGTAAAATCTACCAATCTTCTAAAAGATCACAGTCCATGTCTTTTACATCTTAGAATATCATTGACCCCAAATTGCCTGTCTAGCCGATAGTAGAAAATGCTGTAATTATAGCTGCTAAAATCCATTATTTTTATCGAAGCAGTTAAGAAGTACTGATATCAGTTAATATTCATTTTAAATAGCATTGAATGGGTGCCAAATAGTTCAAATTTCTGAATGAGAGCTTTATAGGATGGACAGTTAAAAATATTTTGTGTATCAATGCATAAGTATCTAGTACCTGGCAAAATCGCTATACTGAACACGTGTCAGCGTATTTAATTCATAATCCATATCTATTATCCAAGGATAGTGGTTTTATGTCTGTCAAGCAGCTTATAGGTATTTTAGTTATTACCAAATACACGGATTTAAATTACTAACATAACATAACATCACGCCTTTTATCCCCGAAGGGGTAGGCAGAGGTGCACATTATGCCACTGTACAATGTAACACTCACTTTTCACTATTTATGTTATGAGTTCCATGTAACAGGGGGTGAGCCTATTGCCATATACCGGGCACAATTCCAGACTCCGTGCTACTACTGAGATTTTTTTTTAAACCCAGTAATACTTTGCCCGACCTGGGAATCGAACCCGAGACCCTTGCCCGGCAGTCGCACTTGCAACCACTTGGCCAACGAGGCAAAAATATAAATTAGTAATAATATTAAAAGAAGACTCAACTAAAAGATAAAACGGCTTTTCGTTATAAACCCTTGGGATTTTGCAAATGCTACATTTGAAGATACAAATCTGTATTTGGATACCTTTGTAGAAAGTAATAAACACTATAGTTCCACTAGTCTGTAATCTTGTCGACTAAAGAAAATACTCTTAAATCAATTCAATATATCAGTACCATCATACCTTAAGATTCATATTCCGCCTCCGATTCTACCGTATCTAATGTTTAGTTTACAAATGCGAGCAAATAAACTGGAACGCTCTGACGTTTTAAGTGGAATCTGAGTATCTTCTAAGCTTCATAAGATCGATGTGAATATAGAATTGTAGGTACAGAAATATTTTCTGACTATTTGCCATTTTAGGCTTTTCATTGAAACCTCATAGGATTGAACTTGTTATAAGCTATTTATTATTTGAATAGAATGGAAAAAAGAGAGGTACTCTAACAATAGTAAAATTTACTGGACATATTAATTAGTCTCATTATAGTAGGTAGAAAGCGAATCTAGATGACTTTTAATCTAGTTTTTTTCCGTAATTTTAATCTTTATATCGGATGAATCCTTGATAATATTCCATCACAAATAGAAACAAACAAGGATACAAATGGCATAACCGTCAAAATAATAAACAAGGTCCTATAAAAAATTGGCATCTCAATTTCACACCCCACATTAATTCAATTCAAATTTAGGATATCACACTATACATCATCTGGTCCACAACAAAATAATCTCGTGTGACGATTCAATAGCAACAAATTGCCCCTGTCAAGGTACCCTCATGATGGTATCTCGCGACGACATCGCATGTCGAGGGCGTTCGGTAACCATTGCCGATAAGATTGAAACCAACCGACTCTAAATGCGGATGTGACCGTTAATGCTCATTTATTTTTACATTTGCGTGATCTCTGATTGTGAGAGGAGATTAGTTGGTGGATTGTAACGTTTTAGGAGTCCCCTCTTTTATTAATGGAGGGGTTTTTTTCGACAATGTGTAGTTAGATGACTTTTTTGGTACTGGTAACGTTTTGGTCATGATCAAACTGACTACCTAGTGACTGTTGCAAAACAGAACCAAATAATGGCCATAATTTACCTTAGTTCCTATAAACTGCGCTAAGCGAAGCCTAGTATCATTATAATTTCTTAACTACCTACATCATTTTTCTTAGAATTACCTCTTATACACAGATTTTTTTCTTAATTTTGTCAATTCTATATTATATTTGCAACTAACTGTGTTGGTCTATAGAATATTGATTTTGGCCTAACTCTCACCCAATCAATCAATCTATCGATCATTGAATCCTTCATTGTAAGGGACTTCAAAGAAAAGATTTCTTTGAAATGCATTGAAAAATAGTAAGAAATATTTAATTACTTAGAAATTACTCCTATATTTCACATCAAAGGCGATTTTCTTCTTATTTGAATGGATGGAAGCCTATT